TTGAAGATCACATATTTGAAAATAATTTTAGTGCAAACTTGTGAACTTTTATGATAAAATAAAAAGATATTATTATTCTATTATAGTTTATAAAACGAGCAGAATGGCGAGTTTTTTTAATCATTTGAGTATATAATGGCCATTATACACGAGATGAAAATTATACTTTTTTAATACTGTTAAGTAATATATTTTATTTTTGTGACTTATACGAGTTAATTTTGATTGAAAATATGTTTCTTATAATTATATATTACCTAGACATTATTTGAGGGGCCGTTAACTTAAAAAAAATGTGTAGAATACTTCCGATACTTCCGATAAAATTTAACAAAATTTTTAAAAGAAATTATTTCTAATAATTTCTAAAAGAATTCTATCAGTAATTAAATAAAATAATCCAGCTATTCAAGAAAAATTCTAGTAGTGTACAAAAAATTCCAGTAATTCCAAACAATTCCAACATAATTTTTACAATTCCAAATAATTCCAAGCAATTTCGATTAAATTTCTAAAAAATATACAACTAATTCTAGAGTCAACGGCTCCTCTTTGGAAAGTATGACATTTCAACAATTGATTTGAAATATGACAGTTCAGGTTGGGAAGTAGTCACTTTCTTTTTAGTTGTTATGTAATATGACAATACAGGTTGGGAAATGGCCACTTCCCAACCTGAAGTGTCAAATATCTCATGTTTTTCAACACTGCAAGTTTTTTATTTGCTTCCTGTTCTTTAAGGAGGATGATTGTGAATAAAATAGTATACAAACCTTGGTGGTGGTTGCTTCATCGTACCGCAGCCTTAGTATTGAAGCACCTCCCACCTCGATATGTAATCTATTATTTAATTTTTTTATTTTTTTCTTAAGGGTTGATAGACGCGGTGAACAAAAACTGGTTATGGGCCAAGTCAATGCTAAAAATGGTCGAAAAAAATACCTTGAGGGTGGTTTTTGTCACCGGGAGAGGGAAAGTCTATCGACACATCTTATCGTTGCCTTCTTATCAGAGAAACAAGTCCATGGAGGAAACTGATAAGAAAAAACAACACACATTGCCGGCAAATCGCAATTATTTTAGCACGATTTTGAACCAAAGTAACAATTTTTTCGTTGTTTTTTTTTTTCAAAAACAAAATTGTGATTTTAGAATTCCGTGATGATTTTCCTGAAGCCACCCCTCAACACGATATTTTAAAATTTTCAAGTCCTTTGACTCTAGTTTTGAACGAGTGTAATCGAAAGGGCCAACACCGTGGCTATGGTGACATTTTAAAGTCCCTCCAGTCGATGCAGAAATTGAATGTGGGTTATTTTTTATTTGTATTTATATTTTTTTATTTGTAATCGAATCGAATTTGTGTCTTCAGATGTTTCAGCAAGCCGCCTCAAATTTGCCTCAAGAGGACCGTTGCGAGATCATGGAGGTGATTCAGACGATGCAATCGATTAAAAAAACGTCGAAAAAATGGTCAAATACCCTGCCACAGTCACATAGGATTGCCCCCAAATCGGAGAAGTATACCCCGAAAGAGGAGAGTGCGGGAGTACCACGCGATGGGAGTCACAAGAAGCGAGGAGAAGTGGGGCAAAGTGGGGGTTTGATTGGGAGTTGTCGGGCGGCGAGGATTAGGGAGGATAGTAGTGTTTTGCTGTTTCAGGATTCGTTTAAGATTAAGTCCTTGTTGAATAAGAGCGAGTCGTTCAAATTTTAATAAAGTTTAATCAACAATTTTTTGTTTTATTTCTTTTTTTTGTCTATATTTTTACTTTTTTCGATGACTATTTTGTCACAGGATGATGATTAATGATGAATTAAAAGTGCTTTCGATTGAGACCAAACATAGCTAACTACTGTTTTAAAGTTACTAATTCACTCAAAATGTAAAAACAAAAATTAAAAGATTAGCAAAAATTTAAAAGAAACACAGGTGTGATAAAATAGTAATTTGTCGGCTGAATTAGAAGAAATAGAAGTCGCGAATAGACGCAAATTCATAAAAAAAAAAATTGATCAAATTGGGTTTGCAAAAATTTTCAAAATGATACTATAAACTTGTTTCTAAGTCACAAAAGTTGGCGTTATTTGGTTTTTATAGGCCGTTGGGCTTTTTTCTATAAGCAATTATAACATACATGGAATACAAAACAACGACAAAACAGGCCATCTGGATTTTTACATCAAATTCGTCGTCATTAAATTTCAATTTGAGACAAGCAAAATGCAATCCAAAATATAATAAAACGCGTGCACCACAAGCATAATTGTCGATTATGGCCGTTAAGAAATTAACGTCGGGGCTTAAACATTCCTTTGAGCCATAATCTTCTTATTACGCCCTAGGTACATAAATAACTATTTTTTAACGTAAAATTACGCGTTTTACACAATGGGACTTGTTGCAATGCTCTATGATAAGTAATTTTCGAGATATTAACCTACCTCGATCATTGTCAGACTTTTATTTTAATATAATCGATTTTCTGAGTACCCGAAGACTTTACGCATTGTTCAAAAATTGTCAATTTTTTACGTAAAAATATTCGAGAAATCCGACTATGCAAATGTTTTGAGTTACACTGAATTATCGGTAATCCTTCTAATTTTTTTGTGAACTTATAATTTTCAAAACAAATGCGATAAAAATTTCGAAAACATTGGATTTTTAACATTTTTCAAGCAGCAAACCTGATGAAATCCAGATTTTTGGTATAAAAAAGTATATTTTCGAATTTAAAGTATAAAACTTATAAAACAACATAAATTTTGAGTTAACATAAATACCTGGTAAAATTTTTTAAACATAGCAAAAAAACTAAACTTGAACAAATTGACGTGTTTTGTATCAATATGGTCTCTAAAAAACCGAAATTGTGCAACAAATGTTTGTCGGTCGAATTAAAAATAAATAATTTTTAAAGGTGTGATCTTAAAAAATTAAAAATTTTACAAATTTCAGTTTACAAAACCTTTAAAATGTCGTTTTTTTGACATAAAATCACACGTCGATGATAATAAGATCTGTTACAATGACGTGTAATTTTTAAGATGTTTATCTACTTTGAGCGTTTCCGGACTCTTTGGTATAATAAATCCATCGATTTTTTGAGTGCTCGAAAACTTACGCAGTACTCAAAAATTCACGGTATTTTAAGTAAAATTTTTGCCTACGTAAACTCTTTTGAACTAAAACCTGTAGTTATGAATTTTTACCATTTGATAGATAATTTAAAAAAAAAATTGACAGTGTTTTAAATTTTTTGCGACACTTCTTAATTTTCAAGAAAAATGCTGTTAAAATTTTAAAAGAGTCATATTTTTATCATATCACGATGAAATCCGGATTGTTGGTATACAATTGTATATTAGTGTAAATAAAGTTAAAAAAAAATATAACACGACATAGATTTAGGGTTACCAAAAAATATACACAAAAAAACCATCAAAAATTAAAAAAATTCTAAGAATTAAAATTTTACAAAATAACGTGTTTTGTACTATATGGCCTCCTAAAAAAACCGCAAAAATGTATACGTTTCACAGTCAAAATAATTTTGAAATATGTAAATTTTTCAAAAATTAAAAGTTGGTCAATTTTAAATTGCAAGAGTTTTCAAGATTTGTCTTTTAACGTAAAATTACGCACGGTGCACGATCCGGTTAAAATACTCTACAACCAGGAATTTTCGAGATATTGACCTACTATAAAAGTTTCCAGACCCAGATATACCTAATAAATTTTTCTATTTTTGAGAAAATCTCTCGAAGTGCTCAAAAATTAACGTAAAATCATTTCAGAAATTCAATGACGCAAACCGTTTTGATCGAAGACTTATAATTTTTGAGTTATGAACAGTTTTATATTAAAAAGTCAAAAATTCTAGCCGAAACTACAACTCCGATTAACTCTCGTTTTTACTACTCAATAGATATTTTTAGAGGATTTTCACAATTTTTTGATTTTATTGTAAAACATATATTTTTTGAAAAAAATATAAATAATAAAATAATAAATTAAAAACTTGGTTTTGGTAAATTTTTATTAATTACTGTATTTTTTTAAACAATGCTTTGGACTTTGCGTACGTAGAACTTTCTAACAAATCGATTACTGTTGAGAAAACTGGAAAATTTGGTGTAATTTAAAAGTTACAGACAGATTCGGTAATTGATTTAGAAACTTTGAAACCAGAAATATCTAAAATAACATTTCAAAACTTAATTGAATGACTTTTTTAGCATTCCCAGAGATCTGTTGAGGTTGAGATAAAAAAAAAACATTTTTTTTTTAAATTCCCATAATTTTTAAGTCGCACAACGATAAACTGCGCGTCAAAAGTTTAATAACCGGAATTGCCACCGAAAAAAAAATCATTTTTAAAAAAGTTATGATTTAAAAATGATCAAGCGTGCGTTCTTGGGAAAAAAATGTGCGAATCCGGGTCGATGCTAATCACCGGAAACTAGCGCAAGGAAGAAACGTGGCTCCTTGACCGGAAACTGCCCGGAATTGAGCCCAAAACGCACCAAACATTTTCCTAAACAGAGACAAAATTCTTGAATTCCGTGAATTTTTCTCAAAGATTTTCGTTCGTCTCCTGTCTCTAGCTCCGGTTTCCCGGAATCAATGGCGTAATGCGGCGTCGCAGTCGTCCACAGCATCCAGAGGTGTGTCGACATCACATCATCTCTCGTTTTAATACAAAGTTAACCCCTGAATAGCAAAAAATCCGTGTTTAAAATGTGACCCAATCCGGAATTCCGGGTGTTGCAAATCGCGAGGTAAAATTTTCTCCAGTTATTAATTGTGTCAATAGTGGATTTAATCGAGTAATTGTCGGGGTGGGTTTGTTGATTGATGTCTTTGCTCGTTATTAGATTGGCACTCGTGAAATTTCGTATTCATGAAGAAACACAAAAGGTTTAAACGCTGAAATGTCCACGACGGCTACCACCTTCGTCGAGACTTCCTCGAATTTTTCCAAAAAAATTCTACCACCAACTCCAGCGCTAAATCAAACACAAAAGTCAATTAAAGAGCTGTTCTACAACGGGACGGGCTATTACATAGAGGACGAAGTAGACACAGGTAATGGAACAAAATTCATGAAAAAATATTTCGACTTGTTTTATTCAGGTCTGAATGATCTTCAAACGTTGTTCCTTGCTTGTTTTGCCACATTAATTCCGTTAGTTATTTCGTTGCTCACAGCATTTGGAATAAGGTATAAATTATTCATTAATAAATCAGACGAGACTGCTCACATTTCTCAGGGTACTTTGGACCAAATACAAACGACAAAAGGAAAATTCCAAGTATGATGGCATGGCCAAAAGGGACACCTCGGGAGACGACTCCAAACCTCTACACTCGCATCTACTAAACAGCGACAAGGTAATCAAAAATCACATTTTATGACTTAAAACAGCAATTTGGTGTATTTTATTTCGTAAAAACAGCAAAAAAAAAAACAAGAAATTGAGGAAATTAATTTTAGGACATAATACAGGGTGATTCAAAAGTCACGGGTTATATCTCTTGGATTTTGATACAGGTGAGTTAGAACTCGCGCCCCAGAAAAAAAATTCAAATAGGATAAGATACCAGAAACATGAAAAAAATGTGAAAACATGAAAACATGAAAAGAATTTTGACATTTATTTTTTGACCTTTGACAGTTTTTTATGTCTATTTAATGATACTGATGATCTTGTATATGTTTTTTTTAGTAAAGGTACAAAAATTTTGTCAATAAAAGCCACAAATAACATTAAACAGAGTTACGATTTAGGATACCTCTTCCTTGTTTCCTCTTCTAATAGACTGAGGCAAAAAAAAATTTAAAAATTATTTTTCTAACAGAAATAAATAGAGTAAAAGTGAAAATTTTAAACTCTCATAACTCATAAATAACTCATAAATTTTTATAGATAGAATTTTTTTAACATTTTTTCGATGTTCTTGGTATAATACCTTACATTACATTTTTCTCTGGGGCGCTAGTTCTGGTGCATTCTGTATATCACACTCAAATAAATTAAACAAAAAAATGTTTGAACCTTTTTTCATCAGATATACAGAGTGTCAGAACTCGCGACCCAGAGAAAAATTTCAAGTAAGAAAAGAGGAACATGAAATTTTGACATTTATTTTTTGACATTTGTCATTTTTATTGTGTCTATTTAATAATACTGATGGTCTTGTATGTTTTTTTTATTATTATTTACTAAAGGTACAAAAATTTTGCCAATAAAAGCCACAAATAACATTAAACAGAGTTACAATTTAGGGCAGCTTCCTTGTTTCCTCTTCAAAAAAACTTGGAAAATTATTTTTCCAACAGAAATAAATAGAGTCGAAGTGCAAAATTTAAACTCTCATAACATCGAAATTTTTATAGATAGATTTTTTTAAACATTTTTTTTCTATATTTCTGGTATCTTACCTTACTTAACATTTTTTTCTGGTGCGCGAGTTCTGGCGCCTCTTTAAAGGTTAGATTTTTGAGTTAAGTTTTCGGTCGTTGAAAACAAATCACCAAAGTGAACAGTTTTTGAGAGTTTAAAAATTTTAATGAAATAGAATATGTAGAAGGTTTTTATAACGAATGAAAAACATAAAAGCAGTAAAATTTGTTTCGAATTGCCAAGAAAATGCGAAATTAGAAGTTTTTGACTGTCAACAGCAATTTGGAATTGATATTAGTTATTTTTAATGATATGACATGTACGTAACTGATAAACCTTCTAAGAAATTTTGAACACTATGCAGTCATGAATTTCTAATAAGAGAATTTCCTATCGACCACAATGACTCACTCAGATAACTGAACGACAATAGAATTTAGTGGGATTTAAACATGAGCAAAATATTGCTAAATCTATTTGAGTAGGTTTTGAGAAATAATAAAACTTGCACTGTATTTTTGAATTTTTATTTTTTGTAGTTTCAGACAACTTAGTTGAGTCATCCTGTACAGGGTTATCTAAAATTCAACTAATAGCTTCTTAATTAGAATTTCTTTATCTTACATAAACAATTGAAAGTATGATATAAACATGGAAGATACAAAAAACAGCAAGTTTATAGACAAAACAATTAAAAAAAAAACAAATTTAAAACTAAGAAAGCCACAAACCTAATAAAAAGATTTTTAATTTTTAATCAAAACTTTCGTTTCACTCAAAAAATATTACAAAATCAAAATGCTTTAGTTGTATATTATACGAATAAATAAATAATCTTTGGTTTTAAAGCCCTAAAAAGTACATTTTTTCCAATATTTTTTAAAGTACTACTGATTGTTTCTTTGTTATAAATATTGATAAAAATCAAGGAGAAAATTTAGCAACAAACTTTCAGGTTTCAAAAACGTCTGCACTATTATTATAAAATAAATTTTATTAATATTTTCCAAATCGAAGCTCAACACGGGTGATAATGAGATATTTTTTTCATCAAGGTTTAATTTACTTTACTTTTTTATTTTTTCTTAAATTCTCTTATGTTTCAATTTTATTTTTCAATTTTCTTCTTGATTATCTTTGATGTTCTAAGTTTTATTTAACTTTGGTTTCTCAAAGCTTATTTTTTTATTTTTGTCTACAGTTGTTAATGTGTTTATGTAAATTAAGTTAAAAAGTCTTTTTTAATTGGTTTTAAGAAATAATTGAAAAAGCACTATATTTTTAAATTCTTATTTTCTGAGGTTTTTAACCATCTCAGACATTTTAATTAAATCACTCTGTACAGATTTATCTACAATTAAATTATTAGCTTCCTTATTATTTTTTTTTATTTTAAATAAATAGTTGAATGCACAATAAGAACAAAAAACAGAAAGTTTATAAATTTAAAATATGTATAAAAGAACAAGCACAAAGAAAAGTCGTTTGAACTAATAATAGTTTCTAAAAAACATTTTTCAACTTGTACCTCAACAGGGGCTATGATCAGCAATTTTTTTAATCAATGTTTAGTTAATTTTTAATATTTTTTATTCTATTATGTTTCTGTTTTAAATATGTTTTAATTTTGCTCTTTCAAAGCTTAATTTCTTCTATATGTCTACTATTATTGTTAATGTTTTTATAGAATTTAAAAGTGTATTGGAATAGAAGCAGTTATAAATTTATATTTTCTGTAGACATGTAAAAAACACTTTAGTTGAGTCACTATATACAGGGTTGTTCTTTAACTCAATTTATTTTCGAACAATTTTTGAATAGTAAAATATATTTTTTAATTACATTTTAGTAATATATTTAAATTATTTATTGCTTAAAATTTCGGTTACGATAAAGAGAAATTAATTTTTTAAATAAATGAATTTGTAGACGATAAAAAACGATTTGTAAGTGTTACAAATTTGTAATAATTTGTTCTAATCGAGTGACCTAAATCTTTATTCATTGTTTATGAGTAAATTCTATAAAATTTAAAACAACTGTATTACTGGTGGCCTATAGTGGCCGACTTTCTCGTGCACAAATTTAAATAAATTTTAATTGTAGTTTGTATAAAATTTACTTAACATTTATTAACACAAAAAGTAGCCAAATTTACACTATTCTTCTTATCTTTATTGTAATATATTCGTCGGTAATTACGGAAATGCGTGGCAATTTCCATAAATTATCCTTAAAAGTAAAAAGTCAATTTGATAAATTTGCATTTATTACAAAATGTAAACCGGAAACAACGTGCCCAAACGCCTCAAGAGCCAATCGCTTCGACCTCTGGACTTTTCACTATTATCGACAAAAACTCGTCATGCACACAACTTGTTAATGAACGTAGTATTCTAGTAGTAAAAGTGACCTAGTCCTAGACCTAGCCAGTCGTCTGCGAATTAGCACCTGCTTGTAGAAACACGCGTTTCGAGCCATTAATCAAATTATTATAAACACGTTAAAAATACATCGTGCAATTGCAGCCAAAAGCGATAAACGGGTATAATTTTTTTCGAGTTTGGGAGTAATTTGGCAAAGGATAAATTTTTAATGGTTTCATTGTTGTATTGTTCGCATGCAGACGTGCATTTTGAAGAAATCATCGGCTTGATTTATTGCTTTCTCGAAATTTTCAACGGAAAGTGGCTGCGAGGAATGTGCGCCATAATTGGCTCTCGCATGTGATACATACTTGTTCATAAATTATAACTTGAGGTGAAATTTCAAATTTTCAAACACGAAGTTTATCGAGCTTTAGCTTGAGAAAATTCAGAAATATTTCTCGTTTCAATTWGTGGCTGACAAGCCCGGAAAGCTACTCGAATTTTCCGATTGATTTTTCATGCTGCATACGTCGCAATATTTCACCGCCGAGTCTTATTTTACTTATTTAAGATAGATTTTGTGAGTTTTATTGAAAATATATGTCAAAAATTACAATTTTTTACCTAAATTAGATTATTTCTCATAAAAGAAAACATCTCAGAACGTTTTGATTGTAGGTATTGTAAATAATAAATAAACCTAGTTTCAAAGTTTAGGAAAAGTGCATTCTCTTCAAATTATTTCTATTTTGTCAAGTGTTTTATTATAAGAATTGTAAAGAGAAAAATAAAAATAATGAG